GAGTTATTAGGGATATTTAGTACGTTATTAGCGGTATTTAAGTTTGGTTGGTGACCTTTAGCCGAGTAAAAATAAATGATTCCTTTGACGGAGCTCAAAGCGTGTTATCGCGAGACTTTGTTGTTTCCTGGTTATATTTTAACTTTGTTCTTTAATGTCGCTGCGTTGAACCTTACAGCCTCTTGCAGCCGAAGAGCGAGGAAAAAATATGCAACTAAAGTTCAGGAATATGAAACATTCAACTGAAATCCAACAGAGAATGAATATAAAAGTTAACTGCATACGATGGTCGCCGCTTTTTGTATTCACAGGAGAAACATAATCGAAGACGTAGATGTTAGAATGTGGCTGATAATATTAAAAGCAGTTGTAAATTATTACACGCAAATTCGTATTGATCTCGATGTAGCTCGCGAATACCCGCGAATATTAGACTCTGTTTCCTTTATAAGGCTTTTATCGCTATAGAATTCCACGTGGCTTCCTTGAAATGGACTGAAAGCCACGAGGGAAATCGATAAATGCAGGTGGCTCGTACTTCCTTCACTTCCAAGCTCCGATGGTTTCAAGATCAGCAAAATGTCACACGAGAAAAGACGTTTTTCACTATTCCCTGGTTGACACGCTGTCTTTTCACGTTATTATTATCTGTTAAACAGACGTTCCACTCAGAATTTAATAACCAATTTTCGAATTTCTGGATGAATTTTCAATTGACGCAATTTTCTGATGTTTAAATATCTAAGTTTCATCAATTTTATCAATTTTATCAATTTTATCAATTTTATCAATTTTATCAATTTTATGAATTTTATCAATTTTATCAATTTTATCAATTTTATCAATTTTATCAATTTTATCAATGTTATCAGTTTCATCAGTTTCATCAATTTTATCAATTTTATCAATTTTATCAATTTTATCAATTTTATCAATTTTATCAGTTTCATCAGTTTCATCAATTTTATCAATTTTATCAGTTTCATCAGTTTCATCAATTTCATCAATTCCATTAAGTTTATAAATTTCATCAATTTTAGAAATTTTAAAATTTCAGTATTCCTGCATTTCTATATTTGTATATTTTTAAATTTTCAAGTCTCAAAATTCCTGAATTCCCAACTCGATAAATTCCCAAATCCATAATTTCCCATTTTTCTAATTCCCCAATTCCCTAACTTCCCAATTTTCTAATTCCCAACACCTTAATTTCCTATTTTTCTAATTCCCAATTCCCTAAATTCCCAAATCCATAATTTCCCATTTTTCTAATTCCCCAATTCCCTAACTTCCCAATTTTCTAATACCCAACTCCCTAATTTCCTATTTTTCTAATTCCCCAATTCCCTAAATTCTCAAATCCATAATTTCCCATTTTTCTAATTCCCCAATTCCCTAACTTCCCAATTTTCTAATTCCCATCTCCCTAATTTCCTATTTTTCTAATTCCCCAATTCCCTAAATTCCCAAATCCCTAATTTCCCAAAACCCTACCTTCCCAAATCCGAATCTCCCCAAATCCCTACACATTCATAAACATCTCATTACCCCACACCTGATAAATCCACCCAAAACTCAACACACCACACAACAATAAATCTGTGCATAAAACAACTCTACACATTAACCAATAACAAATCCATACATCGAAATCCTCTCACAACAAATAAATCTCTATAACAAATCTATATGAATGAACCTAACAAACAACCTAACACCTACCCTCAATAAACAGCTATCAACATATCCAATTCACCCGTTGCATACAAAATATGAGAACCAACCGTTTGACTCCGATTCGTTACACGATAGATCTTGTACGACACAAGGAAAAATATATAGTGACTTCTGCGTAACCCAGACCCAGCCATAAATTAGCATCGATCGTCCAGGGACGCGGAAACCGCGTAAATATAGCGATCGATCGATCGAACATTTTCAGCTCGTTGCCGTGTATGATGCACACACTAGATAACTAAGTAGAGTAGGTCAACGGTAAGCCTTACCGTACCGCTATCTATCAGCTGTCGGCGGGCTTCGCTTTTATCAAACTGTTCGCGAGCCTCTTGGCGGCCATTATTTTCCCACCGCCTTTAAATAAACCTCGACTTATCTGGGACTTCCGTATTTCATGGAGCAACGACCGTGCGGGAAAAAGCCGTAGGCTTCGAGACTTTCGAAAGCCACGTTCGTTGGTTAGGTCGCTTTTAACGGCTGACCTTAATACTCGGTTCATCCCTGATACCCGCCTCGTAGACGCACGCTAATGGACACGCTAAAGGACAATGTCATTCTGTTACCGAGGATCTCGCTTATCTTATCGTTCTTCGACCGAGGCAAATATATTCTACGAGAATATTAGGTAGATTCGTACTATCATGAATCTCCATCATCTTTAAATTTGATGCTTTTGCATTTTTGTAGAACGTGACATTTTCGGAAAATAAGCTCTGCATATTTTATACAAAGAAGTCTACATTAAGACTCCATGGTTTCTAAAGTACTCTGAATGCATTAAAATTGATTATGTAGACCCCTGAATCTCTGAAGTTAACTGTGTGGACCCCGGAATTTTTGGACTTAGTCGTGTAGACCCCTAATCTATGAACTTAATTGTTTACACTTTAAATTCTTTAATCTGTCACTGTTTAATCGATTCTATTTTAGAAATATCACTCATGGAATAATATTTACAACATTGCCTTCCAAAATAAATCCACAAGTTACACAAAAATATCGATTAAGTCCATAAAAATTCCAGAGACATCGTGCGATTATTTACAGTAGAATTTCTTTGACACTGTGGCCCGAGAAACGTTCTCACCCTTCACAGGGAGATGAAATTCGCGTCATGTCCGTTTGCTTGATTACTTTCCCGAATCCAGAGAAGGGAGTACAGGAAAAAAAAAAGCGAAACAGAAACGGCAGAGAAATCAAGGGATTATTTTAAATTCTACTCAGACCCCGTTATTAAATAACGCCGCAAGAAGAATGCGCACCGCGATTCCGTGCAAATAAATCCTGGACGGCTGTTACGTTTGAAATATTCCGAAGAAAGGATCCATTCTCGCCCGTCCTTTTCTCCGGGACTAAACTGAATCCCACGGGAACGTGGAAACAGGGAACTTACCGTCGATAGAACGCCCGCTTTATTTCGCGAGCCAGGTATCTCCGCGAAATAATTCATTCATGGTTAGCGAGCGAGAAATTCAAGAGTGTTACTGTGATCTTGAAGAATGGGAGATGAAAGTCGCGGCAAATTGAGCGAATCATGATGCCTCCAGAGATTTCAACTACTCTCGCTGGGTTATCAAGCTATTGTGATCAGGAAAAAATAGGGGAGAACCGACACCGGGTTGAATATAACGTCACGAAAATATTTTTGTATATTTGAGTTAAATATCAGATGTGTTGAATATTAGTTTGGCTTTGTGAGGTCCGTAGTCTATGAACTTGACTCTGTGAACCCCGTAGTCTTTAAACTTGACTCTGTGAACCCCGTAGCCTTTAAACTTGATTCTGTGAACCCCGTAGTCTTTAAACTTAACTCTGTGAACCCCGTAGTCTGTAAACTTGACTCTGTGAATCCCGTAGCCTATAAACTTGATTCTGTGAACCACGTAGTCTTTGAACTTGACTCTGTGAACCCCGTAGTCTCTGAACTTGACTCTACGAACCCCGTAGTCTATAAAATGGACTCTGTGAACCCCGTAGTCTATGAAATCGACTCTGAGAACCCCGTCCTCAAAGTTATTCCATTGAATTTAAATAATAAAAACATCACATATGTAAAAATTATACTTAAGCTAAAAATTTAGAAACCATCAAAGTCGAAACTACGAAGAGTTTAAATATGATATTAACAAAAAAAGAACAGCGAAACAAGTCGAAGTATTTTCCGGTAGTTTCCAGAACGAAGTCAGACGTAAAAAAATGAAGGTTTCATGCGTTCAACTGCAAAGGAATCATCGAATCAATCCCCGGGGAAAACAGCCGGTCGCACTTAACCGGGGTTGGCGAGCATGAATGTTTCACAAGCCTGTAAGCCTACGATCGAAAGTCTCGCGATCGTTTCAAAGGGATGCGATCTCTTTCACCGGGGACTCTCTTAACGAGCTTACGATTCTTCCTTGCGACGAGTATCGTTTCCGCTTAAGCATCAGTCAAGTCACTTGAACGCCTACAAGAGATTCCCTTTTCGAACGGCGAGCTTTAACGTGGGACTTTCTCCAGAGACTTAACAACCTTTGAACGTACGTTTAAACCTTCACATCGGCCTTTCAACGTACATGTTCTGATACTAGGCGACTCAGAAAGGGTGCAACTTTGAATAACTTCAAGCATTTCAATTATTAGCACTTTAGGAAGATTCGTATTAATTTTCCAACTTCGTATTAATTTTACTTTGATTATACGTTTTACAATGTATGTTATCGTTTACGTAAAATTTCACGTGCATAAAATCTTTTATTATTGTTAAATATTGTGTGGCTAATATCGTTTTTTGGGACCATTTTGAAATTATTTTCTGTAGAACAAATTTATGGGAACGTGTATACAGAAATACATAATTATTGATACTAAACACTCATGCATCATGTATGCATCATTAATCATTATTTATAATGACTAGTTGTCTATGAGTTTTTATTTATTTACTAGAAATGTATCAACCTGTCAACCTTTCAATGACATTGACAAATTTATTAAATCATATTATTTATTAAATAACAAGTTTGTAAAGAATGTCTCGAAAAGAGTCTCATAAGCCACATATTATTTCAAATATGTAAATTTTAGTAAAGACAGTAAAGTCTTTGTTGATAAAAGAAGACAAGAATAAAGAGTAATTAAAATTTCTATCAAAAAAATTCACAAAGATGCGTACTTCCTTTTAGTCCGCAGATATGACGAATCCCGACGACGAAAGTTAGGAACGAAAGTTGTTGGAAACGCGAAAAGGAAAGTGCAAAAAGAGAAGTAAAAAATGTAAGATTTACCCAGGTCCATGAGGTGTTCCTCGCCAAAGTGTCGAGCTGCGTGAATATGAAGAAGCCCGAAAGCGAGCTGCATTCCCGTGGTGAGCAACAGGGCAAGAAAACCGGCTGCACAGACCAACCACCCCCAACCACCCTCTGGATAGAAATGCGTTCGCATGCCAGAGACGTCTATTCCTGAAAGAAAACAATTACCCTCTTCACCATTCGTCCTTAAATCACGTCACCTTCTAAGAAAGCTATAAATATTTACAGACACTGGAATTACTCTGTTTTTATTTATCTTCTCGGTTTTTAATTTTTTATCAGTACAGACTTTTCAATGATTCAATAATTTAGATTTGGTAGCTTGGAGGTTGGAAAAATTGTATTTAAAATTTTAGAGATTTAAAAAATTAAGATAATTAAAAATTGTAAATTAGAATTTTGTGTATTGAAAAATTAAAATAATTAAAAATTGTAATTTAGAATTTTAGGTATTGAAAAATTTTAATTTGGAAGCGTGGGTACCCAAAAATTTAAATTTGAAGACGTAGGTACCCAAAAATTTAAATTTGAACGCAAAGCTATCTAGAAATTTCAACTCGAAACTAAAATTACTTGAAGAACTAAATTTAAAGATTAATGTATTTACAAATTTGAAAGTTTATAATAAAACATGGGTTTGCAAACTAATATTAAATTGCAGAACTTGCCTGGACGTCGAAAGGTTGGAACACAGCGATGAAGACTCCTCAGGTCACCCAGCATCCAATTATTGTTGGCAGCGATACCCTCGTCAGTGTCCAAGTAACGCATTCGAGTATCTGGAAAAAAAGAAAGTAAAGGAGATTTAAAGACGTGAAATAGAGACAGTAGCGAGCAATCCCCTGTGGCGGGCGCTTAAATGCAAATTAAGAACGTTGTGTCGGATTAACCCTGGAGATTAGTTAACCTGTTTTTGCGTAATTCGACGATATATTTGCAGGACTTAATTACACCGAAAACTTGCTCACAGACCAAGGAATTTACGGTGGGTTTTGTGTTAAGCCTTGATGGAGATAAATAAAGTTTACGTATTTGTTAAGGGTTAAACTGTTTTATATTTCTTTATAAATCATAACTAAAATATACATATAGTGTTAAAAAGATTCTCAAACTTGAAATTATTCATCATGATCCTTCAAACATCCCTCCCTGAGAGACGAGTTTTTAAGGTTAGAAAAACATGGCAAGTAAATTATGAAAGAATTAATAAAATTAAAAAATTGTACTTATAATCATTCGTTGAATTAAATTAAATGTTCAGACATGAATCTTGAAAAGGTAAAAGCTACATCAGTATAATTAATTATTTATATTTCAAAGTTATAATTCCTGCATCTCGTAACAGTTACGTAAACACGATGCTACAAGAAACGCGTTATTCACTAATTAAGTCGGAGGAGCCCTTTTCCAAGCTTATAAAAATAACTCGTTGCAACAACAACTGGATCTCGCGTATTCTGAACGCACCTTGAACGCGTAGCAGCTGGCAACGCTGCTGTAGTATTCTGCAGACTCGGGGATGAAACGAGTTGAAAGAAATGAAGAGGAAAAAGAAGAGTCAAGGAGGGTTAGATAAAAGTGCTCATGAAAAGGAGATGCTGGCCGACGCTGGAAGGAGTAAGATGCGGTAGAGCTTTGGTCGGTGGTTCGAGAAATACGGGTCGATGATTTTCGATGCACGGCAAACGCTCGATAAGTCGCTGTTTTTCGGGCTTCCGTGACTTTTCGTCGACTTCTTATTTTCACGGGAAATGTTTTATGCATTTCACTCGACGATCGCGCTGCGTTGCACAGACTTTACGCTGCCGGTCAAAATTATAAGCTTTCTTCATTTTTAGCTAACTCACCCTTGTGGAGACCATTATTTTTCTTTTGCATAAAAATGCGAGAAAAATAGTTCTATTTCGTACACTGTACGTTGCAGTTTTTAATGTAAATCTGCTATTTTATTTAGTTTGTTTGTAATGCACTGTTTTACTTCTGAGTTGGTTCAAATTTTATTTTGAAGTTGCACGAAATTATAGGACTGTGACTATATGACTATGACTATATGACTATATGACTGTATGACTATATGACTGTATGACTGTATGACTATATGACTATATGACTGTATGACTGTATGACTATATGACTATATGACTGTATGACTGTATGACTATATGACTATATGACTGTATGACTGTATGACTATATGACTATATGACTGTATGACTGTATGACTATATGACTATATGACTGTATGACTGTATGACTATATGACTATATGACTGTATGACTGTATGACTATATGACTATATGACTGTATGACTGTATGACTATATGACTATATGACTGTATGACTGTATGACTATATGACTATATGACTGTATGACTGTATGACTATATGACTATATGACTGTATGACTGTATGACTATATGACTATATGACTGTATGACTGTATGACTATATGACTATATGACTGTATGACTGTATGACTATATGACTATATGACTGTATGACTGTATGACTATATGACTATATGACTGTATGACTGTATGACTATATGACTATATGACTGTATGACTGTATGACTATATGACTATATGACTGTATGACTGTATGACTATATGACTATATGACTGTATGACTATATGACTGTATGACTGAATGACTATATGACTGTATGACTATATGACT